TAATTTGATGAACAAAAATAGATCCAGGGGAGGTGCCGGGGAGTGGGGGGAGGGTTAGAGAGCAACCAAAGGACTTGTATGCATGCATATTAGCATAACCAATGGACACAGACACTGAGGCAATGGGGGCTTGCCCGGGGTGGGAATGGCTGTGGGGGCGGAGAGTCGAGCGGGGAGAAAAAGGAGACATATGTAAAACTTTAGACAATAAAAAACAAACAAACAAACAAAAAACTTCTGTATTTGGTTGTGGTGGTGGTTACATAACTGTATTTGTCAAAACTTATTAATTTTACACTTAAAACTGGCAAATTTTGTTATGTAAATTAACCTTCAATAAACCCAAAACAAAATCTACTAACGCAAAGCTAGAACCTCTAGCAGCATGTAACCTGTCCTCGTCCCCACCAGATTTCAGCCAACCACCATCCAGAATCCTATGTCCATCACACTCTGCTTGCTTTTTTATACAGTTTAATTCATCTACTTGTAGTCCTTAAAAAGTATGTTTTTAATTTTTCTTTTAGTGAAAAAGTATGTTTTTACCTCTATAAAAAAGGACAGTAGCCTGCATTTAATTATTCAGGACCTTTTTTCCTTAATTTACATTCCTAGGAATTATCAACACTGTGGCATGTCACTGCGATTCACTCTTTGACTGCGGATTCATGCTCCATTCTCTGAATACTCGACATATAGACATGCACTCACGCCTTCTCCCTGATGGACACCTGAGGTGTGATTAAGGACTGAGGACAGGGCTGCCCAGAACATACTTGTGCGCCTCCCGGGCACATGTGCAAGATTTTCTCCAGGGTTTGTACTAGGAACAGAACTGCTGAGTCACAGGCGAACTCAGCTGTAGGTGCCCCCATTCTCCACCTTGACTGTGTTCCAGACACATTGCTATCCCTCTCCTTAAACCAGCTGCGTCCATTCCAGCTCCTAGACCTTTGCACTTGCTGTCCTTTTTACCTGGAGTGCTTTTCCTTTAGGGCAGTAGTCGGCAAACGGCGGCTGTTGAGCCACACGCGGCTCTTTGGCCCCTTGAGTGTGGCTCTTCCACAAAACACCACGTGCGGGCGCGCACATACAGTGCGACTGAAACTTCGTGGCCCATGCGCAGAAGTTGGTTTTCGCCTGGGCGAGTCCATTTTGAAGAAGTGGCGTTAGAAGAAGTGGGGGTACGTTCGCTGAGGTTGACCCCTCAGATTGAGGACATTTTTAGCAAAGGCCAGCTTAGGAGTACCCTAATTAAGTGAATAACAATGTACCTACCTATATAGTTTAAGTTTAAAAAACTTGGCTCTCAAAAGAAATGTCAATCGTTGTACTGTTGCTGTTTGGCTCTGTTGACTAATGGGTTTGCCGACCACTGCTTTTAGGGCTTTCCATGACCAGCTTTTACTTGGACTCATTCAAACACAACCTCCTCAGTCGAAATGTCACTCTTTCTGGCCCCATTACTCCTGTTCCCACCCCAGTCACTCGCATGTCATTCTTTTCACAGCACCTGCCACACTCAGAAACAGCCTTATCTTGTTTTTTTGGTTTGTTATTGTTTTTCTAGGAGAACTGGGATCATGCCTTATTTAGCAGTGCACCCCCTGATGTAGAGAAAGTACTCAACAAAAAATGTTTTTAATGTGATTTTATTGATTTCAGAGAGGAAGGGAGAAGGAGAGAGAGAGAGAAACATCAACGATAAGAGGGAATCATTGATCGGCTGCCTCCTGCATGCCCCGCCTTGGGGATCGAGCCTGCAACCCAGGCATGTGCCCTGACCGGGAATCAAACCAGGACCTCCTGAAAGGCCCACGTTCAACCACTGAACCACACCAGCCAAATTTTTTTTTTAATTGAGGTGGATATTAATATCAATTCCATGTTAGAAATGAGAAATTTCAGAGAGATTAATCCACGTGCCCAAGGTTGCAGAGCTTGGAGGTGGCAGGATTTGAATCTAGGTCTGACCAGTTCCAAAGCCCATGTTCTTTCCTGGAAGAGGCTGTTTTGTTCTCATGTGAACTTTCCTTCCCCCTCCCCTGTTATCAGCAGGCCATCCAATGCCACCTGTATAGCCACATGAGGGAACTCTGTGGCTACACAGGTAGCATTGCGTAGAACTCTGGGTCCTGTCATTGGCTGTCATTCCCCCTTTTGCAGTGGGTGGGGCCATGGCCTTGGACCGTGGGAGACCTGGACTCCCACCACCTGTTTCAGAAATGGGGCCCAGTCCAGCCCCCCACCAACCTTCAGCCCTATATTAGAGTCCCAGCTCTGGGCCTCTTTCTTATCATCTCAAAACGCACCATGCTCCGGCTGCTGAGTTCCCTCCTCTTGGTGGCCCTCGGTAAGACCCCGGCCTGTGTCTGTGTTACACTGGGTCAGGAGCCCCTGAAGTCTGCCCCCTGCCCTGGATCTCATGAACCCAGCATGTATAGGAGGGGGTCTTCAGCTTGTACCTAGGGCATGCTTGAGGGGGCTTTCAGCCTGGTACCTGAGCAGGATAATGGAGGGGAAGCAGGGGTGGGCCAGCTTAGGAGAAAGACCCAACCGGCTATGGGGGGAGTCCTCAGTGGGGGCAGCAAACAGTCTAATGGTGAAAAGTTTGGGCTCTGTGGTTGGACTGCTTGGGCTGGAAATTCTACTCCTTTGCTTAACCCTCCAACTCTCCTCTCACACTCCTCCCACCCGCTCCATATTCTGTGCTCTAACCTCTTCCTGGTCACTCTGACACACTGCAGTCCAGCTCAGGGCTGCCTCCTTTAAGACGCCTTCCTTGACTGACAGTAATAGCTATCACTTCTCAAAGGCTCTGAGGCTCTAGGCACTGTTCTAAGGGCACTAAACCCTTCAATGTTGCCCTGGGAAGAAGCCACATGTTCATCTCTATCCCTGGGCCCCTGGGACTCTGCTGTAGTCCAAATGCTCACAGTTCATATGCAAGGCTACTGAGGTCCAGAGAGGGCAAGGGGCTTTATGGGGTCACAGAGCCAGTTTGTGGTAAGCTGGGACTGGGACCCAGAATTCTCCTTAGCTCCTGGGGACCCTCTAGCTGACTGACACCTCTACTCTCCCTTCCAGCCTCGGGCTGTGGCCGACCTTCTTACCACCCTTCCACCCGGGTGGTCAATGGCGAGGACGCGGTCCCCTACAGCTGGCCCTGGCAGGTAAGAGCAATACCCGTGGCACTGTTTCCTGCCATAGTCGCTGTACCTCGTGCTCTGTCTGCAAGGCATCCAGTCTTAACCCCATTGCTTTGCTTCTGGTATCCACTTCAGCTTCCAAAGGCCAGAAAACCCTTGGACAATCTATGGGAAAGTTTTGCCCATTCGACCTGTAACCCTTACAGGGATGTTTGCAAGTTAAACGTGGAATCTGGAGAGAGCAATGTTTAACCCAAGGGTTGGCGCACTAAGTAGAATTTCAGGCTCTACACACAGGGAGGGAGATTTCTGGGGACTCATTTCTAGACTCCTTGAATTGTAGAAAAGAGCGATAATGTCACCCAGCTGCTGTGGCTCAGTTAGTTGAGTGTCCTCCCATGCACCGAGAGGTCACCAGTTCAAGTCACTGGTTCAATTCCCAGTCAGGGCACATTCTACATTCCAAGTTGGGGCATATGCGCCCGCAACCCAGGTACATGCCCTTGACCGGAATCGAACCCGGGACCCTTCAGTCCGCAGGCCGACGCTCTATCCACTGAGCCAAACCGGTTTCGGCAATAAACTAGTCTTTAATTGTTTTTTAATTCAGAGGCTCAATAGCCACATGTGGCTAGTGGCTACCATAGTGGACAGCCAAAATATAGAACATTTCCATCACCACAGAAACTCCTATTGGATAGCACTGGTTTATAGCAGGAGTCAGCAACCTTATTCTATAAGGGACCAGAGAGTGAATATTTTAGCCTTTGTTGCCATATAGTTTTCATTGCAATGACTTCACTCTGCCATTGTAGCGTGAAAGCATAGATGATACATAAATGAATGAGTATGACTCTTTCCTAATAATCTTATGTACAAAAATAGACCATAAGCCCAATTGGGTCCAGGAGCTATGATTTGCCAACCCCTGGTTTAGTAGGAGCTTTTGAAAGTCTGAATGTGGAAATAAGAAGAGAGGCCGAGAACTTGAGGCGGGTTGTGCCTCAGAGGGCCCAAGAAAGGGCCTTAAAAGAACGGAGGTTCAGGAGAACTGGGTGCCCGATAGAACAGAGGGCCTGGGGTTCTCGAGACAGAAAATTAGAGGGCAGAGAATGTGGAGGTCCCCAGGGAGATCCTAGGGCTGGGAGTTGGAGGGGCTTTTGGACAGAGCGAGTGGGATTCTAGTGGAAAAGTGACAGGGCCACCATGAGCAGCTGCATAGGTTGGGCACTGCGTCTTTCTAGAGGGCGCCGTTCTTTTCTGCAGGCAGAAGGCCCTCTAGAGTTGTACAGTGCCCCTACACATCCAGGCGTAGCAGCCCTCCTTGTGGGGTCCAAACCACTCAGGCTTCTCCCTCCCTGGCCCCCAGATCTCCCTGCAGTATGAGAAGAACGGAGCCTTTCACCACACCTGTGGTGGCACCCTCATTGCCCCCGAGTGGGTCATGACTGCGGGCCACTGCATCTCGTGAGTTCTCTCATTTGCCCTGACCCTGCATGGGACCCTGGCAGGCCAGGGTGGTGGGTGGCTGTGGGAGGGACGGAGGGAGGGAGGCCAGTCAGGCCTGGACTGACCTTACCTCCACTGGCAGGAGCTCCATGACCTACCAGGTGGTGTTGGGAGAGTATGACCGGGCTGAGGATGAGGGCCCCGAGCAGGTGATCCCCATCAACTCTGAGGATCTCTTCGTGCACCCACTCTGGAACCCCAACTGCGTGGCCTGTGGGTAAGTGAACTCTCAGGCCTGGGTCCTAGGGGCTCCTCTACTCACTCAGCCCTCCATCACCCAAAGCCAATTCTGGGCTCTGCAAGCTGTGCCCAGGTCCACATGCGGAGGGTCGGCGCCAGCAGAGCCTTTAAGGACCATCTACACCAAACCTCTCTCCCTAAGCAGGGGACAGCAGGGCCCAAGGAGGGGCAGGGACTCCCCCAAGGCCACTTGGCTGGTTGGCTTCAGAGCCCAGGATTCCTCTAGAACCCAGTCTCCCAAATCCAAGAGCTCCTCCATTCAACAGCTATCACCCAGTGCACCCTGGGTTCCCGGTACCATGGGCAAAAGGAGAAGCGCTGGACTGAGTCAGGCTCCGGCACTACGTCGCTGTGCGGCCTGGGCAAGTCACTGCCCTTCTCTGGGCCTCAGTTTTAGCATTTGCCAAGGGTGAACTTCTGTGTTTCCTGGGTGGTTATGAAGGTCAAGGAGGCAGTCACTGGGTGAGGACACAAAGGTGGGGGGCCACTTAAGGCACTCAACCATATGCAAAACTGTGTGTCTGGATGGTTCAGTATTTTGGGTGGGAAGGTCCAAGAAGAGTGCAGAACCCCTAAAAGTGCCGGACAAGAATGAGGGGCCATGAGGATCAAGACCTTGACCTGCCCTCACGGGGCTCCTGGAGTAAGTGGAGAGAAAAATCAGACCCAGGTGAAGTGAGTTGAGTGACAAGCGGGTGGATGAAGACCGAGCAGGGGATCTCAAAGGCTGGTCCCAGGACGGCAGCAGCAGCGCCCCCTGGAAACCTGTTAGAAATGTGAACTTCCGAGCCCCACCCAGAACCCCTGCATTGGAAACTGTGGGATGGGGCCCAGCAACCTGTGTTTTAACAAGCCTTCCTGGCGATTCTGATGCAACTGAAGTGTGAGAACTGCTTCAGGGTGAAACCTGAGGACAGCTGTGAAGGTCAAGGGTGAGCAGGGAGCTGAAGAGGTCTGCAGGGAAAAGGGGCAGATGTGGTCGGAATGTGAAATATCTGGAGCAAAGGCTGGGAGGTGGGGCTTGGTCTGGGGGATAAGGAGGCTCCCATGACTTTTCCCTCCCTCCCCAGCAATGACATCGCCCTCATCAAGCTGTCACGCCCCGCCAAGCTGGGAGACTCAGTCCAGCTCGCCTGCCTCCCTCCTGCCGGTGAAGTCCTG